GACCATTTTTGTTATTAGTCTTTTGTGAGTGATGTGTGGTCATAGGCCATCCTTATTTGATTGTGGTGCTCCCAGTAGTATATACTACTTTTATAGTAGTCCTTGAAAAATTAAATGTTTTCCCTTGCAGCGGGGGCACCCCTGGACTGCAAGGGTTAACCTCGTTTATGCCTAGGGGACAGGAAAGGCTGTTTGTATTGACAGGTTAAGAGTTACATTTTGTTGTTTCAATTGTTGAGTCAGCCATTGTTATTTATGGAAATCAAAGAATACATAGCAGCACAGGTATGTTCTTTGTAATTTGACTTACCTAAAAATGTAATTGGAGTTTTCCTGGCTTGCATTTGCATGCATACATGTATTTCTTTATATACATAAACTTTCTAGGTATGTATAACATGCCATTTCCAATTACATATATTAAATAGACTTTGATGCATACATTTAGCAGATTGCCATTTTTTTTAAATTCCTGTGTACGAGGTGTCCACCAAATTTGAAGTGGCCCAGACTCCCCAAGGTGTAAATCTTGCAAAGCAAGGGCAACTGAGGGATTGAATGAAAACCTCTCCATAATTGAAAATTAAATCTCTACACAAATTGTGCCAGTACTAAGAGGTTTCTCAAACTTGCCTTTTATATTTTAATGTGATTGATGATGTAAGAAGGAGAGTAGAGAGAAAGAAAAAGACAAATGACAGAACACAGTTTCAGGTAGAATACTTCACCTCCATTCTTTAAGATTCTATAGAGCTGCGTGAGCTTATTCTGCAGGAGCATGCAGAGAATTGAGGTCAAGACAAACTGATAAAACCTCCTGAATTTTCATGTCATTGCATAGGTAGTAACTGCATTTTTTCACTCGTTGCTTGTAATTGCCCTTTAAAAGAAGAATTTGCAAAACAATGTACATAAAAACAGAGTGGGAGTATCTTCACAATTCTCCCATGGTAATAAGAAATGTTGCACAAAGGTGAAAAGAAACCTTTTGTGAATCATGACAAGTTCAGAGATGAACCCATTCATTAGACTAGCTTGTATCCCTGTTCTGACTCATCTTGCTATCTGTACTTAAGGTCTTATTAGCCAGTTAGTGACCTTTTTAGAGTGTGTGTTGATATATTTAACTGTGATTGTAAAATCTTTTCAGTTAGATTCTTGTGACTCATCGCTTATATATCGAGAATTTGGACACGATTGTGATGCTTGCTGACAATGTAGGTGGCATTTTATTCTTATATTCCAGCTTTAGAATCTGAATTAATTGTAAATTAAGTAGAAAATTATTTCTAATGACAAAGGCTTACACAAAAGCCATGTGCAAACATATTGTAGCTAAAGGTAGAATGCACACCCAAAATAACTGAGGACTTTGAATTAATGAATTGAATAACAGAATAGCTGAATACTTAAACTAAATTTGAGGGATATCGCTGTGGGTAGTTAGTGGGGCATAAATATATACATAAATTGATAGCCTTTGAAATGTATTTGTTGGGCTACATTTATTTTTATTTTATTAATTTTAATATGCAATTATTGTATAAAGGGTTATTCACTAAATGGTGAAGAGTTTGGAGAGGGCAGGAGAAGTGAACAATCTAGGACAACATAGCTGAACTGGAAAGTGAGCTGAATTGGAGTCTTTTTCCAAATCAGCTATGTTGTCATAGATTGTTCACTTCTCCTGCCTTCTCCAAACTCTTCACCCTTTAGTAAACAACCCTCATAGTTTTAGCTCAGTACATGTTCCTTTAAAGTACATGATTTGAAGGTATAGAACACCGTCAGCAGTATTTCTGCATAGATGAGCAACAAATCTACCTTCAGTTCTGTAAATATATTTCACTTTAAAAACTGAAAGCTGCTTGTGGCTAAAAAAAGCTTACAGAAAAGCCATAAGCAGTAGAAAGTGTATTACATTTGGACATCACAGGGAAATGATGCTTAAGAAACCTGTGCTGAAAAAATACATGAACTGCCATTGCTGACCTTTGCTTCGAAAAAGTTAAATTTTTGTCTGTCATTGTCTTTAATAACTCAAATTTACTGACCTGAAAAAGAGTACACAGATTAGGATTCTGACTTTACCTACTGCAAGCTTTTCAAGATCATTGTCTTAAATCTGGTCCTGCCTGCAGCTTCTGTCATAGCAAGCTGTGTCAGCCTCCTGGCGCCCCTGTTGCCATGGTGCCTTGTGCGCCTGAACAACTCGCATACCCCAACGCACGCCCTGGTCTTAAACTGCTGAAGACACAGACATCTAGAATCTTTAAAAGGTGGTCCACTGTGGCAGTTTTTTTTAACAGAAAACAGTACTAGTCCCCTAGATTATAGAAAAGGGAATGCATAGTGGTTGGTTTTATGTTCATTGTATATCTTTATTAAAGTGCATAACTGGGCAAAGATCTCCTCCTCCTATCCCTCCATTCCACCCATTCACCTAAAAAAACTTCTAAAACCTTTGCTATACTCACCTACATTTTTAATCCATGTCTCTCACTAGCGCCACTTCTGGGAGTGAAGACTGGTGTATCCAGGGCTATAGATCGTGCACAGACCAGTCGCATGATGTTGTCATGTCGCTACTGTCTTCTGGATCCTAAAACAGACCCGACGCTGGACAGCCAATTTCCTTCCTCTTCTTCAGTAAGGAAGAAGATAAAATACTTGGGACCTGGCAAATCACGTAACCCCAAACCTATGTAGGTAAATAAGATCAGGTTGGTTTTTTTTATATACATACTCAGCAATGCGTTGGGAAGGAAGGGGGGGGGGGGGTATGGAATGCTTGGAGCCAGGGCTAAAAAAAAAAAAAATTTTATCCAGCCTCCAGGCAGGGGCGTATCTGCCGCGAGGCAAACGCAAAAATGCTGCCCCCCAAAACATTTGGCCAGACGGGCTGCACAGAAACCGGCAGCTCGGCTGCCTAATGTGAACGGGGAGAAAGCGGCGGAGGGTGGAGCAGGAGGAGATGGGGACGTAGCAGTACGTTGCAGGAGGCAGGAGGCGGAGACAGAGGAGATGGGGGTGGAGATGGAGGAGGCAGGGGGGCGAAGACGGAGGAGGCGGTGGGCAGAGATGATAATGGAGGCGGCGGGATGCGTCACCGGAGCTCCAGTCGGGCGGCAAAGATGCGATTATCGGGCGTCGAGGAGGCTGTGCTCCGAAGCGGTCGGGCAGCAGAGGAGGCTGGGTTTTTCATGCCAGGTAAGAAGACTGTGCTGGCGGAGCCCAGCATAGATTCGGCACAGCCCACCAAAGAGTCTTAGGTGGGCTGTGCAATACCCTTTGGTGGTAACCCCCTACCCCCCTGCTCCCCACCCCAGCTTTCCTGCTATGCTAATAGAGGAACATGTCAAAAGCTGGATGTGCACTGTACCCAGTGACTGACCGGTTATGCAAAAAGTATTAAACAGGAAAGGGTGGGGTAAATTTTGTTGGGGGTTGCCCGATTTTTGTCTTGCCTAGGGCAGCCGCCCCAAACCAGAATACACCACTGCCTCCAGGTGAACCTTAGATTGAGACTTCAATTCACCACACACATTACAATCTGAGTGTACAATCTCCTTTAGATCTACCAATAAGTATGTAGTGCAAGGAAATGCCTGGTTGGATGCAGATTGATTGGATGTATTAGGTAGGTGCTCCTGTTACATGGATTTGGTAAGCTGACCATACACCTATAGATTATCTTCAGATTTTCTATGGTCAGATGGCAAAAATGCAACAGATTATTCCATCTACTCTAAACTTTGTGGATGGGGGAATCTCCCACTTGGGCCAACCTTCAGTATCTTGCTAGACGGCCCCGCTGGCTGTCAAAATACCTGAACAAACTGATTGTATACAGGCATTGTTCAGGTATTTTGAGAGCCAGTGGGGCCGACTAGCAAGATAGTGAAGCTTTGCCCAGTGGGAGATTCCTCCACCCACACAGTTTAGAGTAGATGGAGGAATCTGTTGCACTTTCCATCTGACCATAGAAAAGCTGCAGATAATCTATAGGTGTATGGCCAGCTTTAGAGGGAAACAAACATGGGCAAACCAGGAGGGTTACCTTAATTGTCCACAAAGACAATAAGGTCTAAGTGTGCAGCTGGTTAGGTTCATTTTCTTAAAGATAAGCTCCAGGCAAGGCTCCTTACACAGTTGAACTACATGCATGGGATCTTTTTTTTTTCTTTACTTTCCTTAGGTTTTGTTTTTCAGTCCAGCCAGTTCTGAGATTTACACAGCTATGCTAGACAGCAGAGCCAGTCCTTAAGCATTGACACACTGCATGCAAAGCTCTGTGGAGCAAAGCAAAGCTGCGAGGCACAGACGTTGACACGCAATGTGTGAGGCTCCCACGTAGCAACTCAGTGGAATATGCATCCTGATGCGCGGGTTTATACGCGCAAGCTGATTGGCTGAAGATTAAATGTTTCATCTCGGCATGCTCAGCTAAGTGAGCTCTCACAAGCTGATGCGGCGGAATTAAAATTACAAGACACTCCACGCGAAGGTCCGTGTGCCGCCGCTCCAAGCTGCTTCACATGCAGTGTGTCACGGGCTTTAAGCCGAACTCCAGCAGAGATTTTATTTCTTGTAGGATCAAGTGGAGAAGCGTTAACATGTTTTTGTTTCTGTCTGGGAGCCCATAGGAGATCCCTTCCTTCACTTACTGTTCCTGTGACAACAGGACAAGAAATGGGGGAAGCAGTTGTTTACCAGTACAAGAAGGCACATATAGCGATACAATATTGTCAGAACCCTTTCTCACTCTAATAAAAAGTTGGGTTTTTCTGTGTCCTGTTCTTCTTCTGAAAGGGAGTGAGGGGAAATCTCCCCAGTAAGAACACAGATAGTAATACAGAACCATAGTATGTAAATAAGTGAACATGGTCATTATTTATGTTTATATTCTGTTTATACTCAGAATTAAAATAAACTAAGCTTAGGGTTTCTTTGTCACAAACCTTAAAATAAAAACATAAGGCAACTTTAATTAGAAAATATTTAATTCTGACAATAAATGAGTACTATAAACACTGGATAAACTTTAATATAACAAAATGTAGAAATAATTAAGTAGCAGTTATTCAAACATAAAAATATGAAAAGAAAAAAAAAAACTCTAACAGCACTCAAGGACAAAAAAAAAATATTTTTTCTTTTACAATATGGATATTAATGCTACATATATTTATCAATTGTAAAATACAAGTTCCGTTTTCTAATTCAGCAGCAGCTACAGTACCTAACATTGCTTGAATTCAACATACAAAACACAAAAGGTAATAATGCTGCTGTGTCTAAAAACTTAAAACTGTATAAATGTGATAACTTACTATAGTAAGGAAAAAATATTAAATCTTATTACAAACAACAAGTTGTAAATTATACAATTTACAGTACAGAATTATATTCTTCGTTGTGTACAAGTGCTGATCTGTTAGGGCACTGGATTGCAGATGCAGTTCTGTGTCCAGTGAACAATGAGGAATTCTAGACATAATCCCAGGCACTCAGACCCAACTAGAGAAATAAACTCATCAGTGACAGACTCTATAATCCTCTTTACACAATACTAAATTAAATGGATACATTAAATATTGGAAGGGAAGTCCAAAACAGAGAAGTTTTTCTATCTACCAAAAACATCACCTTTATAGGGAAAGCTTATTAATAGCCTCACCAAAGGATGACACGTCCACCTGTTTGCTGGATAACGGGAACTAAATCTTGTCTGATCCTTAGGAATGCAGGCTCATGGAGATGGCATTGCTCCATACTCATTGTTCTATTGGCGCTTCTTTCTTGAGAAAATCCTGCAATAGAGGTGAAGAGCAAAACAACTGAGAGCAAAACAATACATTGCCAGCATGAGAATCAAACTAGCAGGAATACATGTGAAGTACTGTTGGCTGACTGAAGAAAATAAAAACCTGGAACATTGAGATGAGCTCCTGAAGTAAATTTGTCAGAGATTAAACAAATCATTCCTAATTTGTAACACAAGCAAATGTCATTAGTACTAATTCAGTGGGACAAAGTGCACACTGAAATTAACCATGATAACCATTCAGAATTCATCTTTTACTAAAATAACTTTAAAGGACCAGTCTAGCATGGTGGGCTGAATTTTATATTTCTTATATTCCATGGATACTTCTCTTTAATACCCCAAGGACACTGTCCCTTATCTCGAAGTAACAATGTTAGCAACCCTAGTTATAATAATATAATGGTATCTCTGAATAGTATCTTTAGAAGCAATACAACAGGATGAAAAAGATGAAGGATGTACTGTATAGATTTATACAACCTGTACATTTACAGGTTATATTGTTTTACCATGAGTAGAAAAGAGTGAAAAAATAACTGTATAATAATGATGAACTGTACTTACTTTACTCAGAAATATACATCTATGCCAGTAAAGATAAGAGCCAGCATCATCGGGAACCAATAAAAATGGTTCCTGACACAGGGGTCTATTCACTAAGCTGCTGTAGGCAGCCGAGTGAATGACCCACCTAAAGCGAAGTGAGCCGAAAGCTGTTCGGCTATTCACTTCAGGCTGGTACGGCTGATTTCAGCCGTATATTGGCTGAAATCAGCCGTACATCGGGTGGCTTCGCGTGGATTCGGGTCGGCCGAACATGCTCAAAACATTGAACCCAGCAGGAGGTTTGCTTGCACTGATGATAACGTGGCATTAAAGTGGACCTGGAAAATTTGCTACAGGAACGTTTAGAAATGTTAACTGTGCATAAGCAGTACCCTAAAAAGGTAACCCTTGCCTGAAAATAATAGTGCACATCCTGGTATGTGGGTGTGCTTAGAAACTTCTGTGCATACACCCTTATAGCGGAATATCTGCAGTGTGAGTTCTAAGGTACTGCTGCCTCTGAATGCTAGTTTCATGAGATTTTGTGATGTCACCACAGTGTTGCCGCCATCAGAATACAATGAAGACAGCAGGAGATTCCTCTATCAACGCTCAAAATTGATGATGGAGGAATCTGTTATTTTTTTTTCGTTCAGCACGCAGGTTGAACAAAGAAAATATTACAGTCTATGGGCAGCTTAAGATATGGTAAACTTTTCAACAGCTCCTTTACAATCTGCAGTGAACTGAAAATAAATAAATTTCCTCCAAGTTACACTAAGTCAAGTGTCTGATCACGTATGCTGAACAGAACGCATAATTCACCTGGGATATTTGCAAGTGGCAGCAGCAATATATCAGATGAGTTAGTAGAGCAGGCAATTTATCTTATGCACTATTCACAATCATTATATGCCATCTTACAGCATTGTGTTTTTCTCAGATAAGAAGTGAAAGCAATGAAAACTCTCACCTACGACATATGGTTTTGCTGTGTCTGTTGTTGCTGTTGTTGTTGCTGCTGTTGAATTAATAACTGTTGTTGCTGCCTGCGTCTGGCAGTCCTCAACTTCTCGAAACGAGCCTCCATCTCATCCAGCACCTTGGGTGTGTATCGCACTACCAGTTTAACACTGTCTTTTGCAGCCTTAAGCAGCTCCACTGCCTTCTCGTGATGTTCTCCTTCCACACTCTGCATACATGAAAAGAAAACACCTAACATCACCACTTTCAATTAATACATTTTCTAGGTAGCCAGGAAAGGAGCGTTTCAGTAAAGCATAAATTTCCCTGTACTAAATGTTTTATTAAAATCGGTTTTAGTATGGCATTATCTGTATTTGTGTCAGGTGATGGTCATGTATAATGTAAGGGGCTAAATACACAATGTTACCTTGATTTTATCTGACCTATTTGTTATAATGCAAGGCATGCATAGAAAAAATATAGGGGCACTGGCAGGAACGGAAGCTTGCTGCTGTCCTCTAAACGTTTTCTCCATAGACCGCAATGTCTTTCTCCAGTTCTCTAATTACAGTTGATATCTAAACTATATTTTTTCATGTTAAGTGCAGGCATACTAAATAATGTGTACATCTACCACTTGCAGGTATTTATTACCTTTCACAGTAACCATAATACTCCCCTGACAATGTCTACACGTGCTGTTCTCTCCAGAAGGATGGAGCCATCTTTGTTCAGGTACTATCCAAGGTCAGCATCTACTTCCTGGACTAAGATGCTGCCTCAGAGATGATACAATTATATAAATCCTGGTTCCTGTACAGTTTGGGCTGTGATCTCTCATGTTGTCTTAGAATGATTAGTTTCCTGATGCTGCCATTCACCTTATGACTTGCTATAAAGTTCCAATCTTTCACTCTGACCATGTGTGGAGAGGAGAGTGGGAAAATGTTTTCTCCAGTCTACAGCAGACTGGTGGGATCATTTTGGTCTTGGCAAAGTGACTCGACTGGAGCTCAATTACTGCTTTTTAATTATAAAAGGTTCAGTTGTTTAGAGATAATATGATAAACAGTTGCTTTATATTGTAACATGTCAGAAATTAATTCATACAAACCTGTAGAGTTATTAAGAGATCTACTTTAAGTTGCAAGAGGAGGAAAAAATATGCAGAGAATAAACACGATGTTCTAAGTGTTTGTATGATTGTTCGAATATACTTCGATTATACTTGTGTCTGAAAAATGTATTACATGGCACCCAGTGAAATGTTAATTACATTATGAATTATTTTGAATTAATGCAGATGTTTACAACCGCCCTTGTTCTCCTGAATGGCTGCCTTGAGTAGGCACCTCATTAGGAAGAGTGCCAATACTAGGAACAATGTGAGTTCATCAGAAATTAGCAATATTGCTTTAATTGCATAATAATACATTTAGCTTAAAAGTACTGTATGTAATATGCATCACTTACAATGAAACACACACAGAATGAAATTTGTATGTTTTTACATCAGATCTACTAGGGACATTTAAAGATGAAGTAATACCTTCATGCATGCAGAAAGAATAACCTAAAAAGACAGTCTTGCATAGGCACAACATTTATGTCAGGTGTATGCTCTCCACTGGAAATAGCCAGAAGAACAGAATGAACTGTAACTAATAAAAATTAAAACAAGTTAACCATACCACTCCATTTACAGAAAGCAGCTGATCTCCCCTCTTGAGTCCTCCATGTCGCTCTGCTACTCCTCCTGGAATGATGCGAGAGATGTAAATTGGGGAATTCTGTTCCTTCCCTCCCATGACATTGAAACCAAGTCCTTCATCTGTTTTTGGCAGCTCCACAACACGAGGGTGTGAATGACCTTCACTGGCAGCAAAAGCAGCAACTGTAGCCTGAAATAAGATTATTTTAATGTGATTTAATTAGGACTGTTTTTTTGAAAATCTAAAGCCCCTTATGAAAGGCATGTTTGACTTTGGCCACATATTTAGGATTATCGTAATATGCAACAATTATGGTATTATCGTGCTGCCATTAAACCCTACTATTGTTTCAAATCGGAGTAAATCTAGTTTACCCCAAAGTACGTGGTAGTCGTCTAGCCATCTCCCATACATGTCCCATTAAACTGACTGTGGCAAGATGGCAAATCTTTTTAGAGGACAGGTCTGTCTCCAAGGTTGCAAAACAATACCGGCGCCTTCGAATCCAAAAAGAGATCCCCTCACCCATCACCCATGACACCGGTGTTAGGGGACCCTGACTTCCCACCTGGTATGGAGAATGGCCGTGTACGGAGATTACTGAGTGCAAAGATATCGCCTCTTTGACTTTATCCTAGACGGGAATTGGCTCTCTATTGACTCTATTCGAAACTTAATCGATCCATGGCTAGACGAATGGAGTGCGATGCAGCTTCATCATTTTCTGGTCTCTGTGCCCGGGTTGCGGGGACTGTCGTGTCGCCTCACTGAGTTCGAGTCGGTCTGCCATCTAGGGGCACCAATCCGCCATGCAATTTCTATGCTAATTAAGCTGTTATGTTCCCCCGCCTCAGTCATATTGCCCCCCCTTCCTCGGGAGGTGGGAGTCCGAGTTGGGCAGACCCTTCACTGAACAACAAAGGGACACAATCATCTCCCTAGCACATAGGTCGTCCTTGCCATGCAAATTTCAGGAACAAGGATACAAGATCCTGACCCGGTGGTATCGAGTTCCATACATCCTTAACAAAATGAATGGCTCTCTTCCTCCAACATGTTGGAGATGTGAACAGGATGTTGGCACTATGTTTCACATTTTCACATGTGTCCTGACCTCCGCCCCTTTTGGACAGCAGTGCGGTATACAATTAACCAGCTGGTGATAGGCGATTTGCCTGATGACCCAGCTGCATGCTTACTAAAACGATCAGTCCTTTTACCTGTTATAATAATGAAGATGCCATGTTTTTTACAACTATTCTGTAATTGACAGTCTGATTATTGTTTGGCCAATAAACGAAACATTTAAATCCAAAAAGAGCCCAGCAGTAAAAATACAGCAAACACGATAGAGGCAGCTCCCATCAGATTAGATGGACCACCAGTCTATGAGAAAAGGAACAAAAGAGAGCGCCGCCATAGTGTAAAAATGTTATTTAATAGTAAAAACACACAGCTCTAAGGCTGTACTAACAACAGTTCGGTAGAATAAAAACCAGTAGAATAAGGTGAGAGGACGGAACCCCTGTCAGGGAGAATCTGGAGCGATGTAAAACACCAGTAACCTCGATCCCTGTATTGATAAATGGTTTACGCGTTTCTGGGGCACGCCCCCTTCATCAGAACCAATTGGTTTTACATCGCTCCAGATTCTCCCTGCCAGGGGTTCCGTCCTCTCACCTTATTCTACTGGTTTTTATTCTACCAAACTGTTGTAAGTATAGCCTTAGAGCTGCGTGTTTTTACTATTAAATACAAATTTTACACTATGGAGGCGCTCTCTTTTGTTCCCTGTCTCCAAGGTACTCAAAGGGTCATAGCGATCAAAAAGATACTGAAGAGAACGGAGTGATTGTGCATGCAGCGCCTTGCACCCCCAGACAGAGACATGTTGTAGTTGGGAGGCAAGAAAATAAAGCCAAGGATTAGGAAGAGCTAAGTCTCCCAAAGTCTTTGTAGAGTCACCGATTTCAATCGGGCCTGCTTTTGTTTACAAATAAGGTCCCTGAAAATACTGTTGATTTGCCTAAAAATTTTCGAGGGGAACCAAATTGGGGAATTGTGCAAGATATATAACAATTGTGGTATCCAGATCATTTTGATACGATTGACTCTCCCAGCCAATGAAAGGGGTAATTTGAGGCAGGCATCTCCTTGAGATCTAAATTTGTGCAATAATAGAAATAGATTAAGTGTGGCATAGTCTGCAAGTTGCGGAGACATCTGGATACCCAAATAGGTAATTCGGGAGCATATAGGAATACAAGACAAATCCGCTGCCAATGGGTTTGGTAAAGGGTCTATAGGAAGTAAATTGGATTCATCCCAGTGTACTAAAAGACCGGAATATATAGCAAAGTCTGATGTACCATAACACTACGCAAGGAAGACTAAGTATCCGCCAAGAAAAACAAGGTGTCTTCAGCATATAGTGCAAGTTTATCTTCCTCTATACCTCTTTTAAAACCTATAATATTTGGAGACTGCCTAATGGCAGCTAAAGGTTCAAAGGCCAATGCGAACAATAAAGGAGAAAGAGGGCAACCTTGTCTGGTGCCCCTCTGTAAACAAAAGCCAAGGGAGAGAGAATTGTTATTCCTAATCTTGGCAGAGGGAGTATGATATAGTGAATGTATCCAAGCACCAAACCGAGATCCAAACCCAAATAAGGATAAAATGGCCCTTAAATATCTCCATCCAACACTATCGATTTTGCTTGGAAATTGAATAAAGAACTTTTGGTCAATCTTTCCCTAACACATTGTCAATCCCTAATTGTATGGCTAACTGCTAAATTGTATGGCTTAACTGCTAAATTGTATGGCTTAACTGCTAAAGCACTGTGTGGCAAAAAAGTGGCATTTTTTTTATACATCATTTTTGTAGTCTAATGGGCAGAGAGCGGTCATTAAAAAAAGTAAGCGCCTGAATAAGGACCTTCATGGCAGGATCACCAGGTATTATTTTAATGAAAGATGCATATGCAAAATGATTGAAAAAATATTTTGGATTATATTAAAAAGTTAGTGATTGAGTTGAAATCTACTTTAATGAACTAGACCTAATGAACAACCCTCAAGCCAGCAAGGCATGCATTCAATTTTACGCAGTGAAATGTATTCAACAAAAACCACATGATGCAACTTTTTAATCTCAACATGAAATCAAAATGTTGCATAACAGAAAAACGTTGTTCTTCAAAATGTAGACCCCTTATACTCTACAGAGGTTTGTACTGTACTATGGTGATGAGGCTATCTAAGAAAATACTGATGTTCCCTGCAGGGGGAAGCAGGTTTTGAAGACTGAGAATACAAATTGTAATGGAATGTTATTTTAATCTAGGAAAAGTGTTGAGAATCTACACGGCAAGTGATGTTTTTTCAACAATGACATAAATTACATTTCTAAGAATCAGAGTATTCATAAAAGACAATCAGCATGTAATAATTAGTATAAATACCTCCTATGGGTGAGGAGTTAGAGTTTCAGCAAGATCAAAAACTCATAGATAACACTATATAAACTACATCCAGCGATTTAAGAAAATGAATACATTTAAGGTTCCATTACCTGCCGATGACAGCACCTGGTTTGCGTCCAGAAACAGTTGTTGTAAGTTATCTAAGCATGTGCAATTACATGCAAATTACCTGCAAAAAGCTGCGGGCATGGGCGGCTGTCATTGTATTGTACAGTGCCTCCTGCCAGCAGCAGATCTAACTGAGACATTTTTGAGACTCATGCAATTGTCCCCATTTGCAAGTACCCTGTAAGTCCTGTATTTACTGCACATAGGATAAAGGTGTAGAGTAACAGGTATGACCATACAAAATTGGCTATATTAAGAAATAGTTTAGAGGTTAGAGGAACCTGTTCTTGCAGATTTGTTTTAAGGTCACATCACATGTCCCTTGCTGTGTCCCTCTTCCAGGAGAGGAGACTGGTGGTCCAGTGCTACAGTCAATGCCCATACCAACCAGTTTACCTGTTGCCACATCATCACGCTGCCTTAATTTTCAGGACCTAAAAGAACATCATCACTGTACTCCTGAAGTGTCCATGTCACCCAGGCAGCAATGTGGGCACCTGAAGGACCTTCACATTCTGCATTGAGGAACAGAGAAAATCCAAGACCCAGTGTGTCATGGGGGATAGGATGCATATAAAATATGAAATATAGCATGAATTGCAGAAAAAAGTCACTCCACTATTCTTTATCCAGCACATTTGGTTCTATGTTGCTTTGTCAATGTTCAATCAACCTGCTCTCACTTACATATTTAAAGAATGAGCAACTAAACAACTGAGAGTTGTTGAATTAGCTAGGATTAAACAACTGATTTAACTTGTGTTAAATGTTTCCCACTTTTTAAAATGTTCCTTCAAAATCATACAAATTGCTAAGGATAGGAGAAAACCTAGATTTAACCACCAAATGGTCTTCTTAGCTCGTGCTCACAATATGAACCGGTAGGACCTGCTCAGCTCACTAAGGGCAGCAGAAGAAAGGAAAATGGTCTATTTGCAAGCTTGATTGATTTGCCTGGATATTAAAGATTCTAAGATATTTTAAAAGTACAATTATCCTTTAAGGCAGATCAGTTGCTCATTCCAATTCAAACATTCTGTTAAGCCACAGAACAAAATTAGACTACTTTGAATAAGCTCCTGTATTGCTACTGTAAAAGAATAACAAAGAAATGAGAAGATGTATGCAAAATGTAAGATATCAGAGTCTCTTCCAACAAAAGCAGTACTGCACCTGCTCTACAGTAATTGAGTAAAATTTTTCTGGTAAAAGAAAATCTAGACTTTTATCAAAATGTTTCTGAAAACTTTAGAAAAAGAGAGAATACCAATGGGAGTACGGAAACTTACATTCAATGACATCAAGATATAGTTTATTAGCATGCAATGAATGCTTTTCCTGCCTTCATTTTATTTAAGATAATTGCAAATGTATCACTTTATAAATTGCCAGTTATAGCTTTCAGTGTGAAATTTATAGTCAAGCTCTTTTGCACTCTATATTTCTCTACAGTCTTCCAATGCAAAAAGCTCCTTGGCATTCATTTTAAGATTATTATGAATTCTACTTGGAAAGGTGGAAATGCTGCAATGTACAGCCTGTTATTGAAATCTTTTATAATTGTGTTCTTACCATTGAAACAATCTCAGTTCATTCA